TTTTCCCTTATTTTTATGTTGGCATTCAGTTTAGTTGTTGAGCAGATTCAGGAAATGCAAAAAGATTTTTCTTTTTGGCTTTACATTGCATATTACCACTTACTCACACACCCCCACACATACACGCACCCATATACACATATCCCTCGTTAGCTGCAAAGAGTGCCATTTTCTCTGGAACCCAACTTCATGTTTGCTAAGTTCTGCCTTTGTAACCCTCTCCTATAGTCAGTGTGAAAACTTAAGAAATAAAGGATAGCATTAAAAACTGATAGCATGTTCTAAAATTGTATGTTAGATGCAAATGGACAGCTCTTTTTCTTCAAAGAAAAGGTTATCTTCACAGCAGGATGCTGGGACCCATTGGCAGAAACAAATAGTCTGCAGTTTGTACTCTGACTTGCTGTATGTAACCTCTGGCTAAATTACAAAGAGCATTTTCCATTGTAAGATTTGTCTTACACATTTACACAATAATTAAATCCTTTATATTTCACATAGTGTTCCACAATCTTTACAAGCTTTTGGTGCTTCCACTAAGGCACCCAACACATTGTGCACTCCATTTGCAATGGGGTCTCAGCCACCACTGAGGGTGTCCAGGCTTGGAGCAGGGAGTAAAGAGAAAAGCACAGGCAGGCAGGGCAGGGTTCAGGCATAGCAGAGTGACCAGCTGCTAAGCAAAATGGCCCCTGTGAGGAGTGGTGAGTCTTGCTGCATGTTGTATGTCTAAAAATAGTGCTGCCGGCCAACTCAAGGAGTCAGCAAGAGCTGGAGCTGATGGGAGAAGGAGGGAGCAGCCAGTCCTCAGCCAGGCCAGCAGCACTGAGGACTGCCAGGCATGGCCAGGCTCATCATACAGCGCATGGGTGGAGGCCCACAAGCCATTTGATTCCATCTCCTGTAGCTAGATTTTGCCAGCATATTTAAATAATCTGGAGCATGCTCCTAGCTCTGCTTCACTGCGGCATTGCTTTATGTGTTGGATACTAACCATGTTCAGGAATACTTCTACTGTCCTCTAACAGGACTGCCAAAAACCCCTATAGAAAGGAGAGAGGTGAAGGCAAGGATGTCTTCATTACTTCACAATGCTTTGGAGCTGTCCTAATTGCACACTGCAAAGTACAAACATTGCTCACATCTGGAAGACACCAATTTTCCTACCATTCCTGCTTCCCAAGCAAGCGCAGAGATCAATCCTTTTTTGTCTCCATTCTGCCTTGTAGTCTCTGCCCATCTACCCCCCACCTGAAGACTGGTGAGGAGAAAGTAAAATTCCTATGCTCATCTAGTACAAGCAACTGCAAAAAGTTCAGGGCAACACTCTCCTTCCCACATAGAGCTTTTATCCATCAAGGGGCCCAGTTATCCGGCCTTCAAATCTCCTTAGAAAAGTCTGAAATGCTTAAGTGGCAAACTAATGTTCAGCGTAAAGATCCAAAGGGGAGATATTACGTTCTCTGAGGGAGATTGTGCATTTCCCTTCCAACCCTGGCCTCAGTTGAAGTATTACAATAATGACAGATGAGCTCCTCCAATAAGAGGCTTTCTTTTCCTTGACTTCAGTGCACGATTTTCCAGAGTTTTATGCAACATTTTAATCTCATGTCTTTCAACTCTAGATTCTCCTGCTAGGTTACTTATGAAAATTACATTAATAGAAACAGAAAATCTGTTAAGCAGGGTAAGAACTGCATTATATGTGAGAGCAAAACAAGCAGCCCCTGGCACTGAGCACCAAAAGGATTCCATTAAACAGAAGGAATACAGTCTTCCAACTGGCAGAGTATCATTTCACTTTGTTGACAGTATATAGAATAATGATTATCTACAGCTGGGTTAGGGAAGTATAAATCACATTAAATTTTTAAAATATGTGTAGCTATGCAGACCACAGGAATACACAACATTCATACATCGATTATTGCTATGGTATTTTTTTAAGGAACAGTTATTTATAGGAACTAAGTGCAACTGCCACATCTTCATTAGAAACTGCTTCAGATGATCCAAACTACAGAAAGTGCTGAGAAGTTTGAATAAAGAAACACACTCAGATGCCAGTCTTTTCACAGAAAAATATCTTTAATTTAAATAAATCTTTAGCATTCATTCTTTTTTTTTTTTTTCATTCAATATGCTAATCTGTATTTTTACTTTTAGTAAGAATTCAGACTTAGACTTACAGAGACCTGCAGGATATTGATAATGACTAGTAGTCTATAGGAACCTTGCAAATTTATCTCTTTCACCAATCAACATCTTAAGTCTTATATGTTAAAAAGAAACTCAAAAACTGATATTGTGGACAGCCTGCTGACATGAAAATTTCTTGCTGTTTTCTTCAGATTCTTTTTGTTTGCTTGGTTGTTTTTTTAACACATTAATATAACCCCACATGTATAAGAAAACTCAACAACACCGGACATTGTCTCCACACAGGACTTAGGACTTTGGATTACAAACCTAAAAGATCCACTCATAGAAGAAACAATACTCATTGTTAAGTAAACTTAAAACCAGCTTTGACAGGATAGTAATAGAAAAAGTATTGACATGTATTAGCAAAGGATTTTCTTATATATATATATATTTAAATTCTGTTTTCATCACTTACCCTCTTTTTTCATATATAAAAATATTAAATATATATACACATATATATGCTTTCTTATATATATAGCTTTCTTGAAAACATCTCAGTAAAAATAATTCAAAATCCTGTATAAAAGATACCATTTATGTTTAGAAAGCTACCAATATATTTTCAGAAACTAACAAAACTTCCTCTTGCATACATTGTACAAATCCTGAAACTTTCGTTGAAGATCACCTATTTTTATAAAGCAAAGACAGCACAATGATTGCATGTAGTAAGAGTCATCTTTCTTGCCCATAAGGCAAACAATAGGATTGATTAATATTATGGTGGGTGGGGGAGGAAAGTTAAGAAAGGGAGTGTTGCCAAGAAACTGCCACTGTGAAAGTTGGCCAGAAAACAAGTTCTACTCTATGAAAAATTCTGAAGTTTTGGAAATCTAATTTTCATTCACATCAGGATGAACCATGCCCTCCTAAAGTGAAGAGTCCATTGGTTAGGGCACGACCATAATCATCAACCTACTGATATTCACAGTATCTGTCTCTCAATCTCTCCTGTTGGAATATTAGATAGATGAAATATTATTCATTGAGCTTGGGAAAGTATAGACCCTGCTAACAGCCTACAGGCAGAACAAGGACTTTGTCTCATTCAAGAAAAGTGTCCTGAGATTAAGCATGACCTAGCTTCTTATGAATTTGGCTATAGACCAGTTTCTGTCTAGTTGGCCCACTGAATAAAGTTGCAGGAGGCTGTTCTGCTTTTTTCAAACTAGCCCATCAGTTGATGAGTTTCTATCCTAGGTGAAGATTTTTCACTATCAGGTACCCCAAGCTATTGTGAATGCCTTTGCTGCAGATTTCTTATTAATTTGATATGGAGGAACCAAGCCAAAGACATTTTCTATTTAAAATGAAAAGTTTTGATGGGTCAGCATTTTCCAGTGTGTGTGTGGGGGGGGGGGGGGGGGGGCGGGGAATCTCAGAAAATTCCAAACTAGCTCTAGTCATCATTTTTTCTGAAAGGTCACATGTCCACAAAATGGAAATTGCAATGAGCATAAAAAAAGCAGTTTAGAAAAACATAGTAGCATAGTGTCTGTATCTCTGTTTCACCTGCTACTAATGCCTGTATTTGGTAATGCAAAAACAAAATTGTCACTGAGTAGACTGAGCACAGGTCTTCTGAGACGTTCAACATCATACAGAACCACACTCACTGTAGGTGAAAAATGACAGGTTTTACTACATGTGATGCTGCCATTCTTTTTCTTTTTTTCTTTTTTTTTTAACTTGACCACTGAGTTTACAATAAATAAATAAATAAATAAACCCACTTTTAAATCATATATATATATGATATATATATATATATATAATTGTAACTATAAAAATATAATTATATCTTGGAAGCCATCAACACCACTTGCCATACCCAGTGCTTGATGCCCTCTGACATGACCACAGGACCCATGCACTGTATGATGCCTGCTCTCACTCTGCCCACTCCTGGCAGATCCTTTCCCTGAATTGTGGCTGTCTTTTGTTTCTGTCTGTGCAAAGGTCTGACCCTAACAATGTTGGCGGAAGGAAGGAAGGAAGGAAAGGTTTGTAGAAACCTTTGCAAACTCTTTTTTCCTCAAACGTCTCCCCAGAGGGCCAATAGAAACACAGAGTTAGCTCTTCAGATATCCAGTCTAAGGGGGACACTTCAGGAAAGAAATTCAGCTAAAGAGCTTCCAGCCCTTGATGACTTATTGTTTGTTCCTTCCCCCCTTCCCCCCCCTCCCCCCCCCCCCCTCCCCCTCTCCCGGGCTTCATCAGGAACATCTAATGAAATTACAAGTATTTCAGTCTGGAAATAGCATGTCCATACCGCTGAACTTTGGCAAGGACATTCCCTTTCTTATACAGTCTTATCTTATACTATCTCGCGCTTTGGGTATTCCTTGTCAATTTATGTAACCTAACGTTTATTCTGCCACTTGGAAACGAAGGGCAGATGTTCCCTCACGCCCTGACAGCGGCCAGGAGCTGTCTCTCCCGCTCCCACTTCCTCAGTTCTTCCCATCCTGAGAGAGCCCCCTCGCTGGGAGGGGAGGTGGCGGGATGCAGCGACATCCCCGCGAGCCACCACCCGCTCCTCCTGTCCCCGCAAAGCCCTGGACGAGCAAACTCTGCCGCAAACAGTGCTCAGCCTGCCCCGACACCCAGGCACCTCACCCCCGGCCGCTGCCGGTGCCTGCCCTCAGCTCAGGTACTGCTGAGGGGAGCCGGGGGTGTTGGGGTCTCCCCGCCCGCTGCACCGCCCCCGCCGCGACTGTGAGGGGGAGAGGGGAAACGCCGCGGCCGTGAGGTGGCGGGGGTGTCCCTGGAGAAGTGACAGAAAAACTAACCTGCCGCAGGGATGGTGATGGGAAGCAGCAGCAGCTGATGGAGCAGCAAGGCTGGCAGGAGTTGGGTGGCCCACATGGTGCCGGCGGCCCCCCCTCCGGCGGGCTGGCGGGGAGGAGGAGAGGAGATGGCTCCTCGGAAGGACCCTGTGCACAGCCGGTCACTCGAGGAGGCAGAGTGAGCCGAGCTGCTTTTTATTGCGATGATCTAAGTTTGTTGTGTGATTAACTGGAAAGATCTGGGTCCCAACTCCCTCTTACGGTAAGAAACTGTTTAACAACATCCCCTCTCTGCCTCCTCTCCCCCACCCCGCCCCTCCCCAGGAGCTGCCTCCCACTCCCCTCCCGCCCCGCAGCCAGCCCAGGGAGGGGGCTCCCACCACCACCTCCCTCTCTCCCTCCTTCCCTCTCCCCACCGCCTCCCTCCCTCCCTGGATCCCTCCAGGGGCTCAGGAGGAGCAGCCAGGCTGGCCAGGTCCCTCAGAGAAACACAGCTTGCCTTGGGGCTGTTGTCTACTGCTGCACAGTCCCCCATATCCCCCCTCCCCACTCCTAGCCCCCAACCCTCCTTTGTCCTCTTTGACCTGCAGCCATATCACCTCTCTCTGCCCGCAGACATCTCCCCTCACAAAGTCACCCTTTTCTCCACCTGCCCTTTGGTCTCATCTGCAGGAAGGACCCTCAACCACGGCTGTTTCAGCAGGACTCCTGCTGCCCCATAGCCAGGAACAAAACAAGACCGTTTCCTGGTTAAGAAGCACACCTTTCCTCTGACCTGTCCATGGCTCCCCCTTGGCTGCTGGCCTGGCCTTTCCATCACCCTCTTTGACCATCTGACAAGTGCCACTTCCCCAAAATTGTGGCAACTCTGGGGAATCTAAAGGTCAAGTATCAGCTGGCTGGTGTTTCTCTGTGGAGACAAACCACAGTCCAAAACGAGGCCCGACCTTCCTTCTGTCACTGGCAAAATGACTCTAATTCTTCTATTGTGCTTCCTTTTAACTTCGTGGAAGAAATGGCATTGGAGTTTGTTTAAAAGCATGAGACCGGCCTTTGCTAACGTGAGTGTTCAAAAATAAACATTTCAAGAAAAGTTTTGCTGTAATTTAAACCAGTTCTTTCTCCCATGCACCCACCTATGGTCTATTGCATAAGTGTATGACAACACAGGCAGTAGAAAAACATTTCTTTCAATTTTCCGCAAATAAACAAGAGACCTGCATGTGGACCCCTGCCATGTGAGTCTTCTCCAGTCCAGTTTCCCTTTCCCAGACTTACTACCCATCTTGCTCATAAACACCTTTGAATGAAAGAGTTTTTCTCAAAAACATATTGTTTTCAAAGGCAAAAGATATTCATTTTTTTATTATTAATTTTTCCTTTATTTCCAAAAATATATGTATATATATGCTTTTTTCTTTCCTTTCACCCAAATTATACCCAATGTCAAAATATTTCTATTTGGGAATTACTGTCTTGGTAAGTGAAAGAAAGGGGACAATAAGGAGCTGAGGGAGAGTTTGTGAAGAAAATATTTTGAACATTGGTTTTACAGGAAAAACAAATTAATGTAAAAAAAAAAAAAAAAACCTTTCTTAAATATGCAGAATGAAAATTATTTCTATTTTTTTGCTGCTTTTGTTTTTTCTCCAAAGAATAAAGCTTTATTTGCTTGAGTTTATTTGCTGGTGTGCTAAAAGCACAACCTGGGAGCAGAGAATTTGTATTCCTTATGCCATTGACCTTGTGCGAAATCCTTGTCCACTGCAAAAAGTAGAACATGGATATCTCAGTTTCTGTTTTCTGTTCTTCTGCTTGTGCTTTAAGATAGACATAAATATAAACAATGAGCAACACAAATAATCATAGGACTATGCTGAGCCCAAAATAGACACATTCTGTTAACCAGATGCATTTGACTTGTCTGTGCATGTGATGATTGACCTTTCTTTGTATAAAGCCCCAAATTATGCACCATTAAAGTCAAGTAGATTTTTTGCCACCAACTTCCCTAAGGTGGAGTATTTGGTCTGTAGTCAGATTTCTCCTGAATCTTAGGAGGGTTTCTGCTGTGTCTCATGGGGACCAGGATGCTTCCTAATGGAGAAAATATTTTGCTATATGGATTCCTATTATTAATACATAGTCCTGTGTATTATTCATAATGTATTTGTACTTCTGCCTGAGAGTTTAAGTCATGGGCATAAGCTTCTTTGCCTGTATATATTATTCTGGGCATGTGCAACTCCTTAGACATGGTTCTCTATTTGACCAGTTTTGGGAGCCTGCTGGAGGACAACTCTACTTTTTACGTAAGTCGTATTGCCCTTCAGTGAAAAATAAGGCATGCAGAGTGAAGGGCCAGAGACTGAAGAGAAAATATAAAGGAAAAAATCTTGTAGGTGTTACATTCAGATGATATATTCATAAGCAGTCAAGGCAAAGATTTGCATCTGGATCTGGGAATTGAAAATGCTCTTTGGTCCCACATCATATACTGCGAAATGTAGTATGATCCTTTTTCTCTGTCTTCTTGCCCCATGTATTTTACAAGTGAAGCATAATATTTTAGTTCAGTTCAGTCAAATTTTATCTTGAAATTCAATATGAAGAAAGCCTGTAAAAATTGCATTTCATGCTTATGTTTTCTAAAGAATATTCAATGTCAGGTATTAGTCTGCATATAGAGAAACTAAGAGCTAAATAGGATAACCAAAAGTTATAGGCTTTATGCAAGAATATTCTGTTATGAGTTATGATTTCTGTCCTTTTGAGTGTATGCTTTCAGACCTATAAGTCTTTATCTCTCGCTTTTTTTTTTTTTTGGGGGGGGGGCTGGTTGTAGCTGAGGGTGATGCTTTTGGTATTCTTTTTCTTTTTTATTATTTTTTGGCTTCTAATTTCTTTGAACACCTTACAAACTTGCCTTGATAACCTGACTCACAAACCAGTATAGTTCTGTGTTAGGAAAGTAGCATAATATTTCTGTAGGCAATATCTAAACAGAAAAGTGTTACTGCACACTTTACCAAAGATATATTGGCTCTACATTGCCTACATGAGTAAAAAAGTTTGAAAAAGTTTTATTTTGGTTGGAAAAGTAAGCAGACATGACCAAATACATAGAAACTGCTATTTTTATATTCCCTTTTCTGACCATAACCACAGTTGGATCTGTTTTTCAGATGTAACTTGCTACTCAGAAATGCTAGATATTCAAAATTTTGGCAGGAATCTGCACACGCATTCACAGAATAATACCAAGTCACAATTAGCTTTAAAGGAAAGCTTTCCTAAATGAACCATCATCTGTCATATGAATTACCTATTATGTTCAAAATAAGCCTTTTTTCTTCTTGATTTACCCTCTTCTATATGTAGCACTCCTTATGCTAAAGTTTCATTGGATAATGAGCCCAATAACAAGCACATGTAGCAATTATTATTCAACGTCAAGTTGATTAATGAAAAAGTTCTTAAGTATAAACCAAAAAACTGTGGTTCATCTTATCTGCGGTATCTACCTTTTTTTTTTTTTTTAATAAATTGAGTTTGATAGTAGGAAAAAAAGACCAAGGTAGAGACTGGAGACTGAATCTCCCTATTCAATGCTGTTCAGAAATGTAGAGTTTAGTAGAGCTACATGTCAAATGTCAATCCCTGCTGAGGCACTTGAGCCAGAGTCCCAGCTGGTCACATGGCACCTTCCAGCCCAAGCCCCAGGCTTTCTTCATGCAGGGGAAAAAAAGAAAAAAAAAAGAGGAAAAAAAAAAAAAGAGAGAAAAAAAAAAAAGTAAATAGTGGAAAGGAAAGGAAAAGGGGGAAGAAGACGATAACAAGATCCTAGCACAGGGATTAATGTGTCTGGTGTCTGGCAGAAGCTCAACCACCCCCTGAGTCCATCATTTTAGATTCAGCCAAGACGATTTTGCATGTCATCATGCTAAATGCTGCACATCTGAACTGCTGGTCCCAGAGGGCAAATTCACCACACCAGTCATGTGTTTACACCTCCATGCAGTGAAGCAAGATAGTTTAGCGTCTCAGATGAGGCTTCATGCTGATTAGACACCGGGGAGACCTTAGATGGCAAGAACTACACCTCCTTCTGCAATGTAGGCACTAATCTACATGGCATTCACAAATAAAATCCCACATGGATTTCATACCCTAAACTATATAGCCTTAAACTTTTTTTCCTTCATCCCATGTTATAGCTTATAAAAAAAAAAAAAAAAAAAAAAAAAGGTTATTGTCTGGCCTTGTGAGAACAAGACATATTACAGTTAAGATTGAACCGCTACAATTGCATTTTACCCAAAAGCAAACATTTGTAAACGGGCTTCACACTTCAACTGAGCACTTTCACGGTACAAACCATGAAAAACAATGCAAGACATGCATACAATGTTAAACAATCCAGATTATCACCTTATACATAGATGTATGCTCCTGGGGAATTAAAAGTATGCTTCTGAAGTTGCTGAGATTAAAAAAGAATATGAATTCCCAAGTGAATTGGTTGTGTTTAATTCCACTTATTAAAATTAACATATGTTCATAATATTCCAATATATATAATTCAAAGTTTTGCCCACACCCAGACTCTCAAGTCTGAGTCCTAAACCTAGTCAGGTAATCCAGGGTTCATCCCTGCAGTCTTTTAGTGGCATAAATACCCTCTGGCTTTCCTATCTAAAACATATTTTAACTGCTTTTTACATGTATATTATATGCTAATTAAGAATAGGTAAGTAGAGTAACAAAAATAATAATAAAATAATTTAAGTTCTAGTATAAATGCCATGTAAGCCATTTATGGCATGGTGCCCAATGGCATCTGATTCTGAATGAATCCTTCCAGATTAGTTTGGAATTGACAATTGTCAATATATTGGGAAAAAAAAAAAAAAAAGGGGCAAGATTTTATGTACACCACGTTGATATTAGTAGGAAATATCTGAAAATGTTTTGTTTACATTAAGCTAAATCTTTCAAACTAATTTGCATTAATAAAAACATTATTTTCAGAAAAACTCCTAGTAATACTCGTATGAAGTTTTTTGGAATGTGCTGCATTGTGGCTAAATGTTCTTAGGAACTGTCTTTTCGACTCCAGAAGGCAAAACAATCCCTCACTCTACTCAGAAGTGTTCCTTGTATTTATTGAGAGTTACACGTATGGATTGAGGATGTGAAACTTTTTGTTTAATTTTTGTTTGTTTGTTTGTTT